GCTTATTATGTATTTTCCGTTGGTTATAAGCCCCAATGAAGATTTCTCGGGCAAATATTAAATACAGTTCTTGGAATCGAGGCATATAAAAGGGTTAAGAATGTGTAATTGGGGATGTTGAGTGCTTATTGACCCAAGATAAGGAAACCCTTGGCGGTTTTCCTGTTTATCTTTCCCTTGACCTTATCTTGTGTTACATGGGCTGTTTCATATGTTTTCGAAGCACTTAAAAGCTTTCCGAAACAAATACTGTGACTGTTCTTAACTTATGAAAAACAAGAAAGAAAGCTAACTTCGAGAAACCAAAATTTTTAAGCCTTGAAATTATCATGATCATATAAGAAATTGGAACAGTATTTTGATTGAATATATTTAGAAGGGTCGGAAACGACTCCTTCACTTGCAAGCAAGCTTCTGAATTAAATTATAAAACCCTGTAAGGGTATAATGATGTATTCTATTTTAGTGTTTACTGAACATTTTTTGCGGCTTACTGTCGTATTCCTTGGTATGCAGCAGGCAATACCCACTACCGGTCACAAATCCAATCGATAAGGAACGTGCCCGGAATAACAATTGGAAAACACCTGCCAACATGGGTGGCATAACCACATAAGTACTATATATCGGGAGAGCTTCCCGATGACCATTGTTAGGTGCCGCTTATAGCGTCCAATTCAAATATTTCCATAATTTTACGCCATTAAATTTGACAGCTATTTCTCTGTTCTTTTAGTTCGCTCGTAAGCAATTATTTTTTAATACAATTATGGAAATGTTGACAGACGAAATGTGTGAATCATAAAAAAAGCTATGAACATAAAAATATTATATTAGTTTTCCTTGGTAACTTAATTTTTCTTGCCTCGTGTAATCAATCACACTCGATTTACATTATTTTCTGTTTCAACAATCTGTCGATTTATTTATTTTCAACACAATCTCGTCCTCGGCTTGTCAGCCGCCGTCGCTAAAGATTAATAACAATTGCGAGAGCAATCGGTAAAATTGACCTAACATATTACACGCCGGGACCCGCGTCTGTTTGCATTAACTTATAATTATTTAATTGTATAAATATCTGTGACACGCAGCGAACAAGCGAAAAGCTACTACAATATGTGTGGGCTTCTATAGTTCCTAAAATTTAGACATGGAACTTCATAAAATTCAACACGTTGAGTTTTCTATAAACAAATGGGCATCGAGGCGTTCATAAACAGGCCAACCGAAAAATAACCCGGGCATATGTTACGATCTCCGATCGAAAAACAATGCCGTTCATATTTAGTCACTCGTCTCATTTTATATTTTGGTCAGAAATTACTCTTGATTTTTCGTTTTCGTGCGCACAGCAAGCAGCTCCAATAAACATATTCTATTTTATTGATTTCCGTTTCTACTCAAAGCACAAAAGTTCCATAAATTGTGTATTTAAATTAAGTGGTTGCTATTATAAAAAGTTAAGCACTTAATTCCAAATTGGAGCAATGGGGCAGAATATTGGAAATTTTTGTAAATATTTAAACATTTTTGGAAACCAATATGTGTACATTATTTATAGGTTTTCGAGAATGACACATGCAGCTGTGTTTTCATAAAAAAATTATAAGATTACTTTGATTTGAATATAATTCCCTAAGGTCGCATTTACCAATGAGTTCTAATGGTATATGAAAATCGATTTATAACATATATTTTATTACTGCCTTGCTAATTTTACTAATTTGTTTATTGTTCCGTCAGCGTTAGAGACTTATAAATCAATCAAATCATCAACGCGAGAATGTTCTGGTTTTCACTTTCGCAAGACTAGATTACCTTTTAAATATCATAAATTCAAGGTTTTGTCAAATAATTAAGAAAGTTAATAGTAAATCAAAACGCAATATTAATCATAGTCAATATTTAATCCCTTTCCAGAGGGCCTGCCATATGTGCCTCATACATGCTTTTTGGACGAAAAGGTGCACACACCATCCGTGGGCTCCTGTTTCGTATTCGCCGAGGTCAAGGAGTGCTGTTGCGCTGGCACCTGGGTCAAGAAGTGTAAGTATTCGATAGATACGATGGGGGCTGCACGTAGCAGTAGCCATCACATCTGGAAGCACAATAGCAATGATAAATACTCATGCCACTACGTATACACATGAGAAGGGATTAACAAAGAGTTGCTAATTTAATAATGTAAATATACATTTTTCGATGATTCTGTTTCCACACGGCGCCTTCGATAAACATACAAATACCAGAAATAACAGCAACAATGGCCGAGAGATCAGATCATGTCAATATTCTCATCACTGGCCAGAAAATCGTACCATGTTAATTATATTTAGTTTATAATGCTAATTGAAATCGCTCACACCGTTCAACTTGAGAGATCGAGAGACTTTTAAATCATAAAATATTTAGGAAAAGGCCTTTTGAAAATGGCAAGCTATAAATTTCAAAAAGGGCAATTAGCCTTGGTTGTTGTATATTATCGCACTGAGTAGTTTATTCCAAGAAGCTTCTAACAATAAACATAACGCCTTGGCTAAATCGAAAGCTAGCTCATAAATAAATATGAGCAGAGCTGAAAAAACAAATTCTGAATTTCACTCATGAAAATTACCAGGTGGCAAAAAACACAATTTAAACTTTTATCTACATTTTTGCTCTTTCTACTTTCCAGGGCGACACATTTCTGGGAGCTCTCGGAGCCAGCACATACCAAAATTATTAATACCTCTGCTCTCTGTATTCAGTTTACTGCGATGGACAAGCAGTAAGTGGATATTCTGTTAAAGTTAACTGAACGACGGGCAGCCGTGGTGTAAAGTTGTACAACATTTAGTCATAGCGAAGTAGGATCGTCGTATAAGTGTACTTAGTTCAAACGAAAAATGTCCAAAATGGTAATCAAACCTACTTGCTAAGCATATATATTTAAGCGTTAATAAATACAAGTTTATAAAGCTAACTGACTGTTCGTTAGCATGAGTTTCGCTTAGATTACTAAATAATGAAGCTGTAACTTACGTGCTCACGTGCATTCTTAAAAGGACAACATATCGAGGAACAAAATTAAAAGATAGTTGTAGCGCTCTAAATTCGCCTTAGTTGCTATTTTCGGTCCACTAAACCTCGAGTTCAGCAAGTCTATAGTCTCCTCAGTATTTTATAGGCTCGTACGGTTGTTAAGCGTACGCTGCAAGGCATTCACACAGGACAGCACGTCCTCGTAGTCCTTAGACCATTCACGTAAATTCCGCTCCAGACTCTCCAGTCGCGTTTGGCCAAGTCGCATGCCGCCGTGCTTGATGGCCGCGTAACAGGAGCAGGCGAGCAACTTGAAGCACTGCCGCCGCACCGCATTGTGCGCATGACTCTCCCAGTTGGGGTGCTGGCCACATACTGCCAGGCCATGCTGACGTAGTCCACCAGGGCATCCCAGTGGCTGGAGTCGTGCAGTCGCTTGGCCTGCAATTGCAGCACACGTTTAAATTCGTTGAGATGCATTGACGCCTTTGAGTAGGCGGCCGCATCGGTTTTCTTGCACAGGCGAGAGGTGGGCAGGGACTTGAAGATGAGCCGCTTCACATGGTGCAGCTCCTGCTCCAGCGTGCTGCAGACAGGGGGTAAGAGGATGTATCTATGGATATAGGTGGATAGCAACACTCACCTTATATCTGGCGTGGGCAGCTGCCTTCTGATTTCCTCCTCATCGCTGGCAGTGTTTAGGCTGTTCGTTATCAAATCGATTAGTTGCTGCTGGGACAATCCCTGCAACAGGACAGGCAACGCTACATCGGTGTTTGTCTGCCCAACCGGTCGGTCGTCCATCTTCAACTTTTTCACTATCGGCGTTCCCGGCCACAGTTGCTTGGTGGTGGCCATTTTAATAGGCGAATATGTCTCCATGGGCATGGGCTCCGGTGGAGTACTGCCCATAGTCAGGCGCTTCCTGGGCGAGCTGCGCAAGATCATGCCGCTGGTCAGTTGCAGGTTCTTGGTGGGCGTACGCTGGAATGGACTGCGCATGGAAGAGCTGCTGGAACTGCCGCCGCCTCCATTTACTTTATCTGGAGAGAATGTTGTGGTAAACCGACGCCGTCCGCGCTGCCGGATGACCAACTCGTCCGGCGAGGGCAGTGGCGAGAACACAAAGTCTTGGGCCTGCACCACATTTACATCGTTATCCACCCGCAGGCCTAGTCCTCCATTCGCGTTTGGTGTGTTTATTATTGTTGCCGCCGGTGTCGGCTCATCCGGAGTACGGCGGTTGGCGTTCGTCGGAGTGTTGGCCATTCGCAGCGCCTCCAAACGGTCCGGGATTTCGGCCAACGCCATTCGCGTCTGCAGCGGTGTCGTCATTCCTGTCGATTGCTGTAAAACGCAACAAGAGATTCTATAAAAATGTTAGCGGCACCTGCACCCGGACGTACCGCTTGGATGCTTCGCTAGATCTTCGCAGCAGAATCACCGATTTATTGCGTTGGCAGTGCGTATAACTTCCCGGCTCTTGGGATCGGTTGGAGTTACCTTTTGGCGTCCCTCCAGGCGAATGCAACTGTGATTTTTACTTGTTTTTGTTTAAATTGCGCCAATTCGCACAAGGTGGCAGCACGCTCTAAAGGTGGGAGCTCTGTGGCGAAAGTATCGCAAGTAAATCGATATTACAACTAAATACACTTACAACAAGGTATATAGAATATGGTTTTGGCTCTGCACATAATACTAGCTTAAAAGGTCGAATTCTTTTTGGGTTTTATCTCTGACCTTCAGGAAGCTTTTGAGGTATTACGCATAATCGTGTAAAAAATATTTATTATTTTACCTAGCGGCTATTTTAAATTTAAACTACAATTCTTAGCATTCTTTTCGATCTCGCCGATATTTTTAAAATTCGATTTTTGTAGTGGCCATAGAGTGGGCCTTTTAAAACTCTGGCAGCTCTAAGTCATAGCAACATTACAGGTATATGGCAACTTTGTGCTTTCTTTCCATCTGAATTATCATTGCTTGCGGTCGTCGCCTCGCTTAAAATATTAAATAAGACTAGTAAAATGCAAGAAATCCATAAAATATTCAACAGATCTGATGTGAAACTTTCGGGCATTATATTATGCCTGAAACCTGGAATTCAGCAAGCAGCAATAAGTTGAAATGATTGAAAATTAATGGGATAACCAAACTCCACGTGTTGCAAGTGAGACACTTGGGGACAGGCTAAAATGTTTCCACATTTCTAAGGTTTGTATGTATTTATCATATAAGAAACATTTACTTATCTTTAACAACTCGAATGATGACATCTAACATACCCAATGCAGAGAAATTATGTTGAAAAATACTTAACATGCATCACCATCTGATTCAGTTGTAAAATAAGTAAAAAAGGAACACAAATACTTAATAATATTATATTAATATTTGGATTATGTTTACAGATTGAAAACGATCATCTAGGAGATGAGAAATCCTGCTCTTTCTTGTCACAACTTGGCTCCGCTTTAAGGTAATTTCTTAATATCCATGATGTCCATCAATAATGTCCATATTGATGATAAACTCATACCCAACTCTGAGAAATTATGTTGAAATCTATTTAACATGCATCACCATCTGAATAAATTATTAATAATTTAATATTTAATCGTAGTAAGTTATTTGTTCACTAATTTAAACTTTTTATTACCTTGCAGACAACTCTTTGTGCTGGAGTAATTCTTTACAAAGCATCGGACTAGGTTAAGGTAATTTACCAAATCTTGTATAAATAATGTGTTAATTTTTAAATAATGATTAACTTCATACCAAATCAGAGAAATAATGTTGAAATCTATTTAACATGCATCACCATCTGAATAAAGTTTAGACACTTAACTTTGATTAATTAAATAGGAGTTACTAATAATTTTTCTCCTTTTACAGACAGACGAAAATTGTTTTAACTGTGTGCTTATCTACTACCAAAAGGTAATTTAATTCCTCGGTTACTTTAATTTAACATAAAATACTTGAACTGATGACATCTATCATACCCAAAAACAGAGAAATTATGTTGAAATCTATTTAACATGCATCACCATCTGAATAAATTATTAATAGTTTAATATTTAATCGTAGTAAGTTATTTATTCACTAATTTAAACTTTTTATTACCTTGCAGGCAACTCTTTGCGCTGGAGTAATTCTTTATAAAGCATCGGACTGGGATAAGGTAATTTACCAAATCTTGTATAAATAATGTGTTAATTTTTTGATGATTAAGTTTATACCATATCAGAGAAATAATGTTGAAATCTATTCTGAATAAAGTTTAGACAGTACATTTTGAATAATTAAATAGGAGTTACTTAGCATAATTTTTTTCTTTTACAGACGGACGAAAATTGTTTTAACTGTGTGCCTATCTATGATTGGAACTACCAAAAGGTAATTTAATTCCTCGAATAATTAAAATTAAAATAAAATCCTTAAACTGATGACATCTATCATACCCAAAAACAGAGAAATTTATGTTGAAATCTATTTAACATGCATCACCATCTGACTTGAAACACAAGATTAACTATGCCTAGGTTTGAAAACATCTTAATTACCAATTCTTTCTTCACTTACAGATGCTGAACTAATTAAATCTTCGCTTATAATATATAAAATAAAGTCTTTATTTTAAAAACATACATAATTCAATATTTTAAGATCTTACAAAACTGTTTAACACGCTGCTCCCCACAACAATAACAGGCATAGGAAAAGAGTCTCCCTCTTGCTCAATCGACTCCAACTGAAAGAACCACTTGCTCCTATTCCATCGAAGAACACCTCCTTTTGGGCTGTTTTTCGCACAGCAGCACCGCCATTGAAATCGCGCTTCTTTTTAAAGCTCTCATAGTACCAATCCATGCCATCCTTACGATCCACTCGATCAACCTGGAGGAGCTCTACTTCTGTGCGTTTTTGGGCATTGGCTGTGAGCTGATGCTCACTGGCCAAGCCTTCGTTGTCGGCACTGGGCGTGGTGCGTTGATATTCCTCCGCCGTAGGTTGAGCAACCGGTTGCTGCTGGTGGGGAGTGTACACTTTGGTTATGGTGGAGCGTCCTCCGCCGCGTATTGACTGGGAAGGCGGTGGAGCCACTGAGCTTGTAGGACGCGCAGTAGTTGCCTTATAGTCTCTGGGACTCTGGGGCGTTGTTGTGGTGGTCGTCGCCCATGTTCGGCTCTTAATCTGCGCGACATGCTCTTCAGCAGGTGGAATTAATAGGATCGTCTCCGCTGTGGTTGTATGCACTAGAGGCGGAGGCCTCAGTAGGGTCACCGATTGTGCCTCCAGATCATCGTCATCGTAATGCGACTCCTGCACCTGTTCGCTGCTGGACGATGATCCGTCATATACCGGAGGCACCTGGGTGCTGGTAGTGGGTCTTGTGCTCCGCACTGTAGTTGTGGTAGCTCTGGTTGTACTAGTGGTCATCCTATTGCTCGGCATCAGAGGCGTTGTGGTGGTAAAGTCTGGTGTAGTTTCCGTTACATCATAGGTAGCTGTCTCCGCGCTTGCTCCATTGCTTACAGTAGGTTTAGGTCTAGTCTGAACTGGGATCGGCACAAATTTTCGCTGGTCTTTGGTTTGTGCCATCGCATCCGGCTGCTGCTTTCCCGTAATATTCACTGCCTCCACAGTGCCACGTCGTTGCTGGGGATCGTGCACTGGCATAAAGCCACCCATGTGGACAGGGACTATTGGACGAAAACCACCGCGTTCGATACTTGATGGCTCCCTGAAGGTGGTGCGAAAGACACCGACTGTGGTGGCTGCACTTCCGCTCTCGTTGCTCACGGCATCCTCCAGAGAAGAAGTGGTGGAGTCCGTGTCCACATAGCGGTTCCTGGCCACACTCTGCTTCTCCTGCTGCTGCTGCTGTTGATCCTTCAAGTACTTCTCAAACTCTGCACTATTCGGCTGATACATCCTGGTCTTGCCTCGCTGGCTGCCGCTTGGCAGGCTAATGTGAGCCATGCGATGGGTGGCGGGCATCTCGTCGCTGCCATCAGTTCGCTGCTTGCGTCCCCGATCCCCGAAGCCAAAGAAGCGACCCAAGCTCACACTGGGCAGTGGATAGCCGAAGAAGGTGAAGGGAGATCCGGAGCCGGGTTGCGGTTTCCGATTGAAGTACTTGGTGTGCAGTATTGTATTGTTGAGATCTAGGTTGCTGTTTAACGTGGGATTAGGCTTGGGTCGCTGCGAGGTGCTGACCACGGAGTTTGTGGTGTCTGGTGCTTCAGTGGCGTCCACATACTGATCATAGAAGTATTCGCTCTCGCCCACTAGAGGTCGATCGCCTGGTAGTCTCGTACCCTCGAATGCCTCGCATTCGTCGTTGAAATCCTCTGGCAAGTCCCTCTGGAAGACATCACCATGCTCGTTGAGCAGTGGCAACTGATTGCCATCGTTGGTCCGTTCGTTTCCAAAGACATCCGTTCCCACACACAGACTCCTTTCCATGCGAGCTGCTCTTAGGAGGCGTCCATCCTGGCACTTGGGCCCCGGATAGGGGAAGTTTGTCTCCTGCAGCCAAACGGAGAGCCACTGCATCTCACAGTTGCAATCGATGGGATTTCCTGGATTTAGATAATAATTTTGTGATTTATACTTTAAAGTTTTTAGTTTCGGATATATCTTACCATCTACATCCAAAATGGCTATATTTCCGCGGAGGTTTCGGAAGGTTCTCTCTTTGATGCTCCTCAGTTGGTTGTTTCGCATAGATAATACACGCAAACGGGGCATGGTCTCGAATGGGGAACCCTATAATTATATTAATTAACATATAATTAATAACCATTTATATATAAATAAATCCCTATGGGATCAAGGTAGATAAGAAAGGTGGAGAATAGTATACAATTAACTATTTTAGCTTCGTATTTTGCCGGCTTTTCTAAAAACCTATCTTAAAACGTATTTTATAATTATTATAATTTAGAATAATTATTTTCATAATTTTAGTACTTAAATCGCACCTGAATCCGACATATCTGATTGTTGTCCATTTTAAGCTCCACCAGCCAATTGAGGGCCTTTAGAGGCATCGTGGACACCAACTTGACGCCATTGGTGGACAGGTCCAGGACCTCTAGATTGCGCATACTACGAAGACCTATATTCTCCATGTTCCTGAAATGGTTATTGGACAGATTGAGGAATACCAACGAGTTGGCATTGTGAAAGCTTTCTGGAGAGATGTAACGCAGTTTGTTGTACTGAAAGTGGGAGGCCAGGAGGCTCGGTAGCTCCTCAAAGACATGGTCCTTGAGCTCCACCAACTTGTTGTCGGCCAGAACGAATTCCTGGAGTTCGTCGAGACCCTTGAGGGCTCCCGGCTCCACGTTCCTGATCTCATTACTGCTGAGATCGAGATACTGAAGTTTTGGCAAATTCCGGAAGGTGCCCTGCTGCAGTTCCACGATAAGATTATTGGATAAACGAATCTCCACAACATTACGCCAACCGCCTATCACATCGGATTGGATGCGGGATATCTGATTATAGCTGAGATCGATATCCCGGAGGCTGTTCAGGTTTCCCAAACCCACGGATATGTCAAGGAGGGCATTGCCCGACAAATCCAGGTACTCCAGTGACCTCTGGGTATCGAAGGCTGTGGGTGAGATGCTACGTATAAGGTTCCTGGACAAGTCCAACTGCTCCAGCCGGCTGTTGTTCGAGAAGAAATTATCCGTGATGGCCTCCAGTTTGTTGGATTGAAGATTCAGGTTTCTCAGCTCAGCCAGCGGTAGCAGAGCTCGCTCATCAGCTTCGCCCAGTTGGTTCTCCTGTAGGTGGAGCAACTCCAGGCGTTGGATTCCAATGAAGGAGGTGTCCTCCAGTTGGCGAATCTCGTTCTGAGCCAGACTCAAGACCCTTAGCTCGGCTGCCCCCTGGAAACCGTGCCTGGGCAGCTGCTCTATCCGATTTTGGCTGAGATCCAGCATCCGCAGATTGGGCAACTGCAGATCCTTGCTAGCGGCAGCAGGGAGAACGGAGATGTGGTTACCCTTCAGAGAGATGCGCTCCACAATCCGGGGAAGACCTCCAATAACCGCCTTCAGCTGATTGTAACTGGCATCCACCTCAAAGAGTCTTTCCAAATGCAGCAGCGTGGATGAGTGGATTTTTCCCAGCTCATTGGAGGATATGTTAAGGGTTTCCAGGAGAGGATTATGTCGGAAACTATTGGGGGCCAGTTCCCTTAAACCATTCTCACTGAGATCTAGCCTCCTCAACGAGGGCAGACCTGCCAGCAACTGTGAGTCCACCCTACTGAACTGATTCTGAGCCAGATCGAGTCCCTTGAGACCAGGCAGATTCCAAAAGGGCAGCGGTAAATCCGAGGACAGACTGTTGTTCCTCATCCGCAGTTCCCTCAGCGCCGGCATGGCCATCAGGGCGTCCCGTTCAATAAGCCTCAACTGGTTGTGGTTAAGATGGAGCTGCTCCAAAGTGCCGTGACCCCTGAGAGCTCCGTAGGGTAGTTCGCTCAGCGAATTCCCACTCATGTCCAGGTACCGGAGGCTGGGTAGAGCGTCGAGAAGAGCCCTTAGGGCCTCGACATGACCAATCTCATTGTTGTAGATGTGCACCGCCTCCACGCCGCTGCCACTAGCCTGGAGCAGCGACTCCGGGTGAATTCGCCGTATGAGATTATTCTGCAGGTAGATGGTCTTTAGTTGGGGAGTGCGCAGAAAGGCTCCATACTGCAGCTCTGTGATCCTATTGTCATTCAGATGCATCTCCGAGAGATTGGGCAAATCCACAAACGAACCATCCTCGATGACGCTAATGAGATTATGGTCCAGCCGCAGCTTCTTCAGGTGCTCCAGATCCTTGACAATGCGACCCACCATGCCCACATCACTGATTTGGTTGTGCGAGAGCTTCAGACTCACCAGGTTGGGCAGCCGAGACAGGGCACGCAAATGGATCCAGTTGAGGCCGTTGTGCGATAGATCCAAGTTCTTCAGCGAGATTAGACCGTCGAAGAGACCCGCCTCCAGGCGTGTGAGTCCTGCCCCGCCAGTGATATGGATATGTTGCAGTTTGGGTAGGTGCCGGAATAGGTGCGATGGCAACTCCTGCAACGCTCCCGTCTGGACACTCAAGTAAGTGAGGCTCAGCAGCCCCGAGAAGTCGGGTAAATGCTTTAACTCATCGCTCTGGATGGTGATGGCCAGCATGTTGATCATCCCGTTGAGACTCTCCGCCGGAATACTGCGCAGCTGCGGCTCCACCACAAATATCTCCACCAGGCCATTCTCCAACTCGTTGAGCCAGCCGTTGGAAACCCGCTCGATGCTGTTGTGGCGGAGCATCAGGCGCACGATCTGGAGGCTCCCAAAGAAACGTCCCGGCAGAGCCGGCAACTGGTTATTCTCCAGCACCAGCTCGTCGATTCTTCCCTTGATATTCCGCTCCACAGCTTTCAAACCGTCCATAATCTGTGGGAGATTGCTATGGGAGCACCTGTGAGGTATAGGATTTTGCATTTAAATCAGATTTAAATTTAAATTGTCTATCAAACTTACCATATCTGAATTTCCTTTCCCCTCAGGGAACAGCGACAGGGCAGAATGGCCTGTGAGGGAGGACAGCTTTCGGCCCTTATAAGATTTAGGCCAGCACAAAGCAATAGAAAGATGGTCAGCAACATTCTGGTAATGAACTAAACCATAGAATTTGAGGGCGGAGCAGGCTGTTTGCGGCCAACTGGGCACATAGCTATACAGAGACATTCAAATTAAATAAAATCGTTTAGTTTAGAATACCTTTTGAAATACCTAGTTGCATTCGAGTAAGTTACGAAACGTATGCTTCATTCAACTCTTTATAATATTATCAAATCCAGAAACTAGAACCCTCAATGACTAAAAATAGAGTGCAGCCGCGAAAAATCAAAACAAGCGTCATATGAACACTTGTGCCATTCGAACACACCCTCCTTACATCGTATATTAATCAAAATATTTAGCAGGCGGAATAGATTGAATTAAAAATAAATTATGTTTTATTGCTGCGGCGAGAGAGAGTTCCGTCGAACTGTAGACCAGACCCCCTCGATGGGATTAACTCTGTCCTATCAAACTTTTGCCAGCCAGGTGCTCGCCATTCAAGATTGGGGGACATTCCTGCACTCGAAAAATAATGATTTAGATTTGAAAGTTCTACATAGATGCAATAAATTAAATATATTTACTTAGAACTTTGATTATTGATAATTATAACTACATATATGGTTTTCGATAGCTAGGATTTCATTAAAATTATTCGGAACATGTATTTTAAAATTCGGACATATTTGGTGACTTCAATTCGTTTAAAAAATATATTTTAAATTTTCCCTATGTGACTCAAAACCAATTAAGTTTTAAAGCATAGTTTAAAATGTAAAAATGTATATTTCACTCCATACTCTTTGGTGCCATATTAATGTAAATTAAATCTCAAATGAATTATATTTTTAATTTATTTACTTTTCAATAACTAGAGAGCGTTGACAATATTTTTAAAGTGTGTTCGACAAGAGTATCTTCATAAATCAGCAGACCTGGAAATCGGTGGCTATTCCACGGTCAGATAAGACCCACCTGACTATATAAAGAAGGCCCCACCGCCAGTTTGGACAACAATCAAGTTATTCCAGCATGGGTCCTATTGCTTACGCCCTACTGTTTAGTTTGGTGGCGGGTCTGGCCGTCGCCGAGAAGTCGGAGTACTGTCTCAGTGAGATCGTCAAGTCGGACGAGAGGATCCGCTCGCACGGCTACCCGACCGAGACCCACGAAGTGGTCACTGAGGATGGCTATGTGCTGACCCTGTTCCGCATTCCCCACTCGCACAAGCTGAGGAACGAGGACAAGGTGCGTCCGCCGGTTCTCTTGCAGCACGGCCTGTTCAGCAACTCGGACTGCTGGCTCTCCTCGGGTCCGGATAACTCGTTGGCCTACCTTCTGGCTGATGCCGGCTACGATGTCTGGCTGGGCAATGCCCGCGGCAACATTTACTCGCGGGAGAACAACTTGATCTCGCTAAACAGCCACAAATTCTGGCACTTTAGCTGGCACGAAATCGGAACCATCGACATCCCCACCATGATCGACTACATCCTCGACGTGACCAAATTCCCAAAGTTGCACTATGCCGGACACTCGCAGGGCACCACCGTCTATTTGGCGATGCTCTCAGTGCGTCCAAAATATAACGACAAGATCAGGTCCGGACATCTGCTGGCTCCGTGCGCCTTCTTCGAGCACGGCCGATCCTTCATTTTCAACGCTTTGGGTCCGTTGGTGGGCAAGCCTGGCGGCATTTGGAACCAGCTGCTGGTAGACACTGAACTTATTCCCCATAATAATCTGGTCAATCGCGTGGTGGACAATGGCTGCCACATGTCCGAGACAATTTGCAAGAACGCCTTCATCATGTTCGCCAACGGAGGATACGAGAATGCCAATGCCGTGAGTGGAAAAGAAAATATATATATCTCTATTCTATGGGGAATATTGAGTATTCGTACAAGCGCTTTAAAACCAATTTCCTCTTTTACAGAGCTCCATGAGCGTCCTAATTCAGACCCATCCTGGTGGCTCCTCCAGCAACCAGGGCATCCACTTCCTGCAGCTGTACGACTCGCACGAGTTCCGTCAGTACGATTGGGGTACCAAGCTGAACAATGAGCTGTACGGTCAGGATCTGCCTCCGGACTACGACCTCAGCAAGATTACCGCTCCCACTCACTTGTACTCCAGCACTAATGATGCCCTGTGCGGACCCGAGGATGTAAACACCCTGGTTTCCAGGTTCACCAATCTGGTGGAGGACTACCGCGTGCCGGTGCAGAGTTTCAACCATCTGGACTTTATCATTGCAAGGAACATGAAGGAGTTGGTCAATGATCCGATCATCAGGCGCATCAATGCCTATGAAGAAATGTAAGCCAATAAAAATTCACGAACTGCAGTAATTTCGAGGGTTATTTATGGATATGCCATTTCATTATCAATCTAAATGAAATAGAAATGTTTCCGAATCAAAAAACCCAAATAAGTAACCTTTATTGCAATACATTTGGCGGTCATCTTATCTAAATTCAGGTAGGACAGCTCCAAGACAGTCAAATGCGCAAGTACCGACGATGTGAGAGTTTATGAAAGCCATATATACATTTATTTGAATTTATTGGTGCGCTTAGCCCGATTAGATAATGACTCCAAACATAAGGTAATGGTCAGTTATTAACAACTCCTTGAGCTGTCTAGCTTCGAGTGTTCACTTTTAATAAGAAGGCAAGAATCTTGATTAATATGAATCCAAATTTTCAACACGATTAATGGCAATTGGTTTGTTTTAATCACAAGTCCAGATTTTAATAGAATTTGGTTTGAAGCGACTGAGATTAGATTTGGCCTAGACAGGTGGAATCATTTAAACTTGTTTTGGGTTGGGATATTGATCAGATTAGTCTTGGTTGTTTGCTGATTGTGGGTCCACAAATGATATCTATTTCCTTCCCTTGTACTATATATTATTTTATATATTTATTTCCTCTATATCTTGAATACTTTCATCTTCAAATGTACTTCTAACGCCTCATAAACCCTTCTTTTGTTTAAGGCCTCGACAGTCGTACGACAGGAAGTCGTACGTACGCTGTCTTGTGCAATAGCCCCGAGACTCGTCTCGTCTTCATAACGTATAGACATTATACCTTTCCGTGGCTTGGCTATAACTATAACCATCCCACCCTCTATCCATGCAACTGCGCAACTCCAAAAAGAAACTCTTTGCGCCGAGAAGCGTAACATGGCTTTTCAACGAAAATTTTGTAATCATTTAACGAAAAAAACAAAAATCAGACTGAAAGACAGAAAAACAGCAGCAGAAGCAGCTGCAAAACTTTGGAATAGAGTGAAAACGCTAAACCGCCGCTTCGGGGGTTCGGTTTATGTAGCTTTTTGTGTTATCTTCTGGCGCGTTTCTACGCATGCGCAGCGGAGTTTACATCAAACGAACCTTGAAATTATTGTCGTTTTCATCATTGTTCGGCTCCAAGTATCTGCATCTGTAGCTGAGGCTCTGTATGTATCTGTATCTGACAGTACCTGGAGCTGTAGCTGTAGCTGTGTGTAATTTCTTGCATTTTGCACGCCTTGAAGTCACACTAAGTGAAGGCCCCATCCCCAAGACCCTCCTATTCCCCTACTTACATATGTATCTATCTATCTCTATCTCCCGCGACAATTTCACCTGCTCTGATTTCTTTTCTCCTTATAATTAAGTAACTGTTTAGTTCTACATCGAACGGTTCTTTAAGAAAGGTAGATTTTGAGTTCAGATGTGGGTGAGTTAAGGAAAGCTATGAAAATAAATTAAAACATTTTGAAAATGAGAAAAATCTGACTGAAAGACAGATTGTTTTGGAAGCTTTTTAAGACTTATGAGATGGGAAAATATCCTTAACTACTTAAGCTCATAAAATAGTACATAAGCCCATAATTTAATGAACTATTTTCATGTTATTTTCAATTTTTAATTCATAAACTTACTCAGTTGCAATGTAATCCAATAAATACTATCTCTGAGTCCTGAGACAAATCCAAGTTAGTCGCTGTATATTTTGCTACAACTTTGGTTGAACTAAAAAATACCACAAACACTTGCTTAATTGTTTAATTAAGCCTTTTAGCTTTGCTTATATTTATGTTTTGAATCACTTCACTTTCAGATTCACTCTTGCTTTTGCGATTTGTTGATTTATTTACTTAATCCAAGTAAACGACTCGATTCGATGGGCTTTGCCGAGCCTTCTGTTTTGGACGAACCGCCTCGTTTGGAATGCACGCAGAAACTGTTGCTCGAAAAATGTTACAGCCCAGCGGATTACTCAAGATCTCTACCAGAAATGTCGGCTTCCTGCCAACTGAAGTCGGAGTTGGAGTCGGAGTCGAAGTTGGGTTCCAACGGCAGGCGCCACACTTGGCTGATTCTCTTTCTGGGGAGTGGACTCCATTTGTGGAACGCGGGTGAGACGATCTGTGACCACGGTTCAGAGGTCTCTCCCTCCACTCTTCCTCCCTCGAGATGGGCCCTGGACCTGGGCCAGGTCGAGTCGTTTATTCGTTTATTTTTGGCATAATGAAATTGCAAGTGAAATTATTATTATGAGAATTATGACAGGAAATAGGTGTGCAAACGAAGGCCAAGAGCAATTTTAGGGTTTTCATTTATGTTAATTGCTATACTTGCGGACATTAACAGCTGAGATGGCATCGATGTTAATTGTGATTTATAATAACTATATTTTACTAACTAAATCATTTTAAACGTTTAAAGGTAAACAAATCCATTTAATATATACTCAATATACTATCAGGCAAATAATCAACAAATTTATACAAGAAAGAAAACTAACTTTGCGAGGCCTATGTTTTTATACCCTTGCAGTTTAAAATTGAATTAAATTCGATGGATTCATGGAATTGAAATTCGAAAATCGAATCAAAAAATGCATTATTTGAATTCGAAAAGCTTTCCTATGTTAGTTTTTACCAAAGTAATGATACATAATACATACATACTATATATGCACATAATCTCAATCTTTCTGTTACAAAAATCTATTACATTTCCTAGGGGAAATCATTTTGGCTTCATGGGGTTCGGTTACTTAAAAACAAAAAATTAAATTAAAGTCCTCATTAAGCGCACAAATTGCTGTATGCGATGTGACATAAGGCCTCATCGTCGGTTGGCTTCTCTTTTCACTTTCGCTTCCCTACAATAATTTCACATTTATTTTGAAATATCCGTACCGAAAAATACTATATAACATAGAGAGTGAAATTCTGAGATGCTTTGTTTCCTTTTTTCTACTGGCAAGCAATAATAATATTTTTAGTTCTATGTGCACAATATTTACTTGCAATCCATCGACGTCATGCACTTGAGAGAACGAGAATCCAAGGGGTTGTCAAGGCCACCGCCGCCCCTAGATGATAAGATCAGTGGCAGATCAGACCCCTCAGTAGCATCCTCATTATATTTATAGTGCGAATTCATGGCACTTGACTATCTGGACACTACACGTGTCCGATTTGAATACGGATTAAGCTATAGCTTAACCTGCTAATTGGAATCCATATCATACTGACCCCCCGAGAGACTGGCGTTCATTGTCAATGAAATTGAATTTCGCCCTCAAGGTTAATCCGATTTGTGGTATATAGAGGGATAAATTATTATTAATCACGCAATGGAATGATTCTACAAGAGTTTCACTGATTTTTTGGTTGTGTGGTTAGTAATTTATTAAATTAAATTTCATAAACACGTGATGTCTAAACTATGAAATAATCGTTTTAAACATTACTATAATAAAGGGGATTTTAACTGTTGAAAATAAAAATGTTTTATAAAAAGACCTAACTCAGATTAAAAAAAATAAAGTTATCCTAAGTATTGAGACTCTTAAAATTGTTTCTGAAAATATAAACCTATATAATATATTGTGTTATACAATATATATGTTATAAACAGTACAAGGAACAAATTTTTAAATATCTATGTATATGCTTTCAACAAATGAATACTAAATCTTATGTTTTATAGGACTTTAAATAGTAATTCTGCATATTAAATTATGTTTACCAGTAAATAGTATAAGTTAAAGTTTGCTATAATTTAGATAATATAATGGGGAAAATATTAAGCAACTTAACTATTTTTAAAGGTAATTAGGATTTAGATATATCATATAATAACTAAATAAATGTAATGAACTCAATAATTGAAAAAAAAGGATGAATATGTGTCATATTATTATTATTATTATGAATGTGTTAAAATTGACTAATCTAAATGTAATGTTTAATTCCCGTGCGAAGCAGGGACGGGCCGGCTAGTATCATATAATTCCCTAAAATAATAAAGAGTATTTATTATTATATTTATTTATATTTATCCAGAAGGAAACATTGAAACAACAATGAAAAACCAAGTAGATTCTTAGGAGAAAAGATGAACAAAACCAACCAAGACACACCCCTCGAAAATGGGGGCCTGCCCCAAGAGCCCAGCTAAAAATCACCCTGTTTGTCGCACAATTCCTATTACATAACCATAACCCACTGTCGACGTAATATATATGTATATATAATAGATATACTCATATATAGACTTGCCCCCGCCATCGAAAAGGAAACCCATCCATCCAATTCCATCTCTGGGAGGTTGCTGCTTTTGTTGTTGTCAATTGCCAGGCCTCCTCCTAAACGCGCCAGCTTTCGTTTTTTATTGAATCACTCAACTTGGGGCCCCCAATCAAAACCAGTGCGTGCCATGGCGACAGTTGTCCCAGCAACAACAGCTCCTCATAGAGCTCATAATGAATTTGAATGGCTGCCAACTAAAACTAATACTCACGAAACCCAAAGTCAGACCACCGACGGGATCCGAGAGTGCGCTCACGCGATGCGATATATGCGAAAACATATAGCGAGGAAATTAGTTGTAGTCACAGCAAATTCTGAGGGCCTCGTGAGAAATATTTCGCAAATTTCGAAATCAGTTGAAAATCGTCGCTCGCTGAGATCGCAGAGATCTGGAAAATGTTCCGCAAGTGCCTTGCCAGCTTGGCCCTGGGGCCCGTCGCGAATCCGCAATCGCTAATCGTGGCTATTCCACGGATCACAAGGACTATTAGTCCTGCAGCCAGTCAGTTGGTCCAAACACGCGCTGTCCACCACGTGCCCCCCCAGGGTAGACCCCCCAAAATTCTCATCACAGGTCAGTTGGTTGACATTCAGTTGCGCCACGTGTCTCCGGCTATATTTATATAGTAAAACATATATCCATGCCGCCTGGCAATACGATTTAAAGCGTTTCAAGGCCGATTGAACAGACGACCAACAGCTGGTCAATATATATATTGTTATGAACTCGACGAACTTCCGAGTTTTCTTTTATTTTCTAGTCAACAATTATTTTTTAAAAGTGTGTGAATGTTAAAACATTATTGTTTAACCGGTTATACATATTGTGGTGTATTTTGTTAAAGTTTTTCTATATTATTTTTCATTATGTATGGGTTATTTTTAAAGCTACTACCTTTGGGGTAGGATGAGCCAGTGCAACATCCTTGTGTTGCATGCAGCATGTTGCTGAACTTCTAAGCCAGCAACATTTACTTTGCTATGTTATATTGAAGTTTTAATATCCAGATAAATGAAAGCATATCCTTTTTGTTTGCATAAAAATTAGTTTTGAATGTCTGAGTGTTTAAGCTAATTCGATGTCTAGTCGGCGTTTTTAATCCACTTAAATCGAGACTCGACTATTATGTCAGAATGCATACAGATCTTTTGTCAGAAGACTAATAAAGCAATCCTTTCCAGTACTATTTTTTGATTGCTCTTGAAAATATAAATTCGAGGACTAGTCTTTTAAAAAACTTTCGTTTTCTATAATATTATGCTTCGTTTTAAAGAATATATAAAGTAGTTATGTTCTCAACATAAAAATGGTTTGTTTGCTTATGACTTTCTAGGAGGTCTTGGCCAACTGGGCATTGAGTGTGCCAAATTACTCCGGACGCAGTATGGCAGCCACAATGTAATTCTTTCGGACATCGTAAAACCCAGCAAGTCGGTACTGGAGAATGGACCCTATATCTTCGCCGATATTCTGGACTTTAAGGGACTGCAGAAGATAGTTGTGGACCATCGTATTGACTGGCTAATCCATTTCTCGGCCCTGCTCAGTGCCGTGGGCGAGCAGAATGTGCCTTTGGCAGTGAGGTGAGACTTAAAATTAAAAAAAAAATCGTTTTAACTGAAACAAATATGTATATCCCCCTCCAGGGTCAACATTGAGGGTGTGCACAATGTCATTGAGCTGGCGAAGCAGTACAAACTTCGCATTTTCGTGCCCAGCACCATTGGAGCCTTTGGCCCCGACAGTCCCCGGAACCCCACACCAAATGTTACGGTAGGACACCTTCTCCTGCTCCCACAGCTTTGTTTGTTCGATACTGAACTGTTATGGGTCTTGTATTCCACAGATCCAGCGACCCCGCACTATTTATGGCGTTTCCAAGGTGCACGCCGAGCTGATTGGCGAATACTATTATCACAAATTTGGCCTGGACTTCAGATGCCTGCGCTTCCCCGGAGTTATATCCAGCGATCCGCCAGGTGGTGGCACCACAGGTAAGAATGAACTTTCTCCTAAGCTCACATGCATGTCAATCTACTAGAAAATATCTGTTGCCTTACTTAAGCCATTTCAAGCCTAATTTAATCCAATTTGTTTATCACAAATATGCTTCAATTCCATCGCCAATTTATGGTTTAATCAAAGGGCAAGGCAATGGGCATCATTTATATATCTGATTCGATCTGGTGATCCACCTTTACGTGCATTAAAATTATATGGCTTTCAGTGGTTAATTAAAGAGGCTTTGCAGTTTTCTTAAAGTGCTTATCATTATGGTAAAACTAGAAAGGTTTGTTTACCGATCGCAGCTATGTTTAAGATAGTGTGTTGGTTGGGACTTACCCACAGTTATTCTTCTTCTTCAAACATCTTACTTGGCTGGGATTCATCGATGATTATCATATTCCAGGGCAGAGTTCCATTCTTGATGTTTAGCAGATCTTCTTAATTAGGATTTACACATTTCCAGCGACGGGAGATGACTTTGGGGTATCCAGATGAGTTACGATGCGAAAGCCACTTTAGTTGGTCGAAGTTATCACTGTCACAATAGAACCGAACACGAGGAAAGCTGCCGACGGACTAAGGGGCGGCGAGCGGATCGTGCCTCTATTTATACCCCTCAGAGTGGCGGGGAGAGCAGAGCGAGAGCGATGGGTAGCGAGCGCTAGAAAGCATTGAAGAGAGTCGCAGAGAAAGGGAATTAGAGAGCAAGAGAGAGGGAGGGAGAGGGAGCCAGAGCAAGAGCCAGAGGCAGAGGCAGACCCAGAGAAGGAGCCAGGCCGAGAGCCGGAGCCAGAGCTGGAGCCAGAGCGGGAGCCAGAGGAGGAAGCAGAGCAAGAGCAGGATCCAGAGCCAGAGGCAGAGCAAGAGTCAGAGTCTGATACAGAGCAAGAGTCAAACTAAGAGCGAGAGCCAGAGCCATATCCAGAGGCAGAGCCAGAGCCAGAATAAGAGTCCGAGTCAGAGACAGAGCAAGAGTCAGAGGCAGAGGCACAGGCAGAGCAAGAGCAGGAGCCAGAGCGAGAGCCGAAGCCAGAGACACAGGCAGAGCAAGAGCAGGAGCCAGAGTCAGAACAGGAGCCTTAGGTAGGGCAAGAGCCAGGGTAGGAGCCAGACCAATAGTGAGAGCCAGAACCAGATCCAGAGCCAGAGCCATATCCAGAGGCAGAGCCAGAGCCAGAGCATGATCCAGAGCGAGAGCCGGAGCCAGAGCCAGAGCAGGAGCCAGAGGCAGTGGCAGAGCCAGAGCATGAACCAGAGCGAGAGCCAGAGCTGGAGCCAGAGCAAGAGCAGGAGCCAGAGCAGGAGCCTGAGCAGGAGCCAGACCAAGAGCGAGAGCCAGATCCAGAGGCACAGGCAGAGCCAGAGCCATATCCAGAGGCAGAGCCAGAGCCAGAGCATGAACCAAAGCGAGAGCCGGAGCCAGAGCCAGAGCCAGAGGCAGAGCAAGAGCACGAGCCTGAGCAGGAGCCAGAGGCAGTGGCAGAGCAAGAGCAGGAGCCTGAGCAGGAGCCAGAGCAGGAGCCAGAGCAGGAGCCAGAGGCAGAGCCAGAGCGAGAGGCAGAGACAGAGCAAGAGCAAGATTAGGAGCCAGAGGCAGAGTAGAAGTCAGAGCAAGAGTCAGAGCCAGAGCCAGAGGCAGAGGCAGAGGCAGAGCAAGAGCAAGAGCAGGAGTCAGAGCAAGATACTGAGAAAGGGAAATAGAGGGAGCTTTAGTTTAAATTTAAACTGTAATAATCAACATTTTTAAATACCATATATTATTTTAACCATATCCTCTCCAGATTATGCCGTTGCCGTTTTCCATGACGCCCTGCGACACGGTAAATACACCTGCTACCTGCGCCCCGACACCCGACTGCCAATGATGTACATTGACGATTGCCTGCGGTGAGTGCGCTTATCAGTAATTATCTATATCCCCATGAGTCTAATTCAAATTATATTCTTTAAATTCCAGATCCCTTCTGGAGTTCATGAAGGCGCCGAATGAGAAGTTAAAGCGTCGCGTTTACAACGTCACAGCCATGTCCTTCACACCCGAGGAACTGGTGAAAGAACTGAGCAAGCACGTGCCCCATCTTCACGTGGCCTACAAGCCGGATAGCCGCCAGCTGATCGCGGATGCGTGGCCAGAGGTGTTCGACGACTCGGATGCCCGACGAGACTGGCACTGGCAGCACAAGTACGATCTGGCTAACCTGGTGGACTTCATGGTGAAGGACGTCCAGGAGAACTACATCAACGTTGATAACCAGGTGCAGCAAACGCTGCAGATCTGATGGGAATCTGGTAAGCGATTCTAGCCGAATGGATCGCACAGTTACAGCCGCATCTAGTATTCCTAAGAACTAACTTTCAATTGCATTTAACGCTGCATTTATCTAGTTGATACAAACATATAAACAATGTACTATTTACCTTGGAAAATAAATTAAGGCTTACAAACCTTGAAAATTTGCATCATGTTTCATTTAAGGGGAGAATCGCATATAATACCCAGGAAGGGACGATATACAACATGGTCCTCCATTTATTGCCTACTTTTGGGAGCTTGCTTATTTAAAAATAATCAGCAATAATATATACATATATATATATATATATATATATATAGCATAGGTTGGAATGAATATAAGGCAGAAGCTCATGCATGTCAATCTACTGGAACGTATCAGCTTTAAAAGAGAACCGACAAGAGCACATTTCAAGCCCTATTTCATCCAATTTCCTATTATAAATGCCTCAATTCCATAGTCAACTATGGTAATCAAGAGGATAATGGGCAACATTTATACATTTATGTGGCAGTAGGTCTTCAGGAACCAGTCGACCCACCTCACAATGCAAGTTTCTATAAAGAAAGCCTTTAACTTAAAATCCCTACTTTAAAAAGATATATTAATTGTTAAACTTAAATATTGAGCTCTTGGTAGCTTAAGATATTTATTAGAAATCAAAATACTAAGACAAAGCACCTTCTGGTTGCGACATATGCGAGAGCTTACTTAGCTACTTAGGTTATAGGCTATTACAATGATCGATTGTACTTGGTTTAGAGGCTACAGGTAACCCTTTGGGCTATTTGCTTAGATATCAGACTCCTCTGACCCACCGCCACTTAGCGTACTGAAGTGATGCAGGCAACCGCCATGCGTGGCTATATACATGTCCGCCGCAGCCTCACTGCTACTGCATTCAATATTTAATTGAATTTTCTCTAAAGGATCATTTCTTCTTCGCTTTATCTTCGATGGCGGCGATGTTGCTCGCTCTGCGGATTCTGTAAACGAGCGAAAGGCAGAGGTTTGTCTATCAGTTAATTGAGTTTTCATTTAATTTTAAATTGTTTAGCTCTTGCTCTGTATAGTTGAATTTTCTTTATAGATCTTTCACAAAGTGTTTTATAATATTTCTGGTTGTCAAAGTTAAGAAATGCATATACATATAGCCTTTGTTTTTAGGCAAAGTAATGTTTAAAACTTGCATTTAAGAATATCTAAAAGAAGTCAAAATACATCAGAAGAAAAATGAATACAAGTTTTGGTAATTACAGAAAATTAAAGTACAAATTTGAACTTATGGTGATACTTGCTTATACTTATACTAATCTTGTTTTGATATTGCAATGTTACGCGTATAACTTTCTATCCAACACTTTGTGAAGGCTCTATGCAATCGAACTAAGCCGTTTTAGCATTTTCCTTAAGTTAATATTGCTTCTGTAATAATTGATTGCTTTGTAACGATTCATATTTAAAGTTTTGTTAAGTATTCTTCACTGCTTTAGGTTATTAAGTACAAGTGCAATCTAACGAGTTCAATTTTCTAATTTCCTTTGAGTTAGCTTTTGTTTTGTACAATATAGGATGATTCAGAATACATATTTATTGATCCGTTTGCAATGTATTCATATTTTTACAATTTTCCTTTCATTTCGTTCGTTAATTTTCCTTATTTTTCGTTTGGTTTGTGTTAGGTATTGCGTACTGCGATTCATATAAATCCAATTGTTTGCTTATGACTAATGGGTGAAATTTATGGATACAAATAAAGAGAGAGTCGCGTCCTCGCTCGGTGAACGGTTGCATGTGTGTTTCTTGTGCATTGTTCAATGGAAATATACATGTTCGTTCTCAGCTATATACATATTTGTATATCTTATTTCCCCTAAATCATATGCGACATCATGCAACGACTCACATCACGGTTAGCGCGATGCAAATGACCTTGATAATGCTGGTAGATTCGTTGAGGTTGCTGCTGCTGCTGCTGCTGATGTTGCTGCTGCTGCAGATGTTGCTGCTGTTGGTGTGGAAAACTGGGCTCTGATTCCATCATCATGCCGCCGCCGTTGGCCTGCATTTCGTAATCCATCAAACAGGCCTGTGTTCCAATTATTTGTGTGGCAGGCAGGGAAAAGAAATCTGTAAGACGAAGACAGGTAGCATAATTATCAAATGCTATAAAACACAGAAAAATGTATTAAACCTTTTTTCTCAGTGCTTTAGCACTGCAAGAGTATCACACCGCTGCTATCGATATTTGCCCCAATTACCGATCGTTTATTTATAACCAATTCGGAACAGAGCAGCGAGTTGCCGCCGTTGTCATTTCTTATCTTCGACTAGTTTTTTTTACCTTTTCGTTTATTTCATGTTTTCTTTTTTGCTGAAAGGGTTATCATTAGCTTGGGGGCAACTGCTATGGTAACGAATTTCGAAATGAGTTTATTATTTTTATTTATTTAATCAATGTAATTAAATTTAAACCATTAAATTCATTACTATGTAAACTAAGGATTTGGCAGAACCTAAAACAAAGTGTTATTACATTATGTTTTATGTACAGAATTATAGCAACTTATATTGATTCTTTCCTCTTTATCGTTTAAACAAACACCTTTAAAAGGAAAAGGAAAATACGGACAAGCGGCAGCCTCTACCTCTATCTGGAAAGCTTCCCAAATATGTATATACATTTATATGTACATAAAGCAAAGCCGTGTGTTAAGCCAAGATGTTTGTCAGGGGCCGGTTTGCCTTTGCCTCGAAATAAGCGGAACTGTCAAGAGCTTATCGTCCCGAGGGAGAGAGTGGTTGATTCCACAATCGGTGATAGGAGAAATTGCACCGTATTAAACGGCAACTGATAACACGGGTCACAACCCCCCACCATTTGAGAGAAAACGACTTTCGGGTGGGTAGGGGAAGCAAGGTCAACACACAATTTTGTAAATTCACAACTTTTACGACACTTTTCACGCAACGCCAATTAAATGTGCGCGAAGCTTACGACCTCAAGGTCAACTGATTACAAATCCAAATTACGACTAAGAGTTGCACTTAATAAAAAAAATAAATATTAAGTGACTAAGAGTAGGTAAATGTAGTCAAATAGCTTTTAGATTTGCCAAGTCAAACTAAACAAATAATTAAAACAGATAATCATAGGTACTAGACTCATTTTCAAATAGAAAACTAGATATAATCTGGTTTAGGTCTCCTATAAATGCATATGTATGTATGCATATGTGTATTACTTACCATTGCAATACTGAGCAGCCAGATCCGCGTCATCGTAACGACACCGTTTGGTGTACACCGGCTGGTCCATATCGCCTCCACAGTCGCCATGCGGATTCAAGCGCTTCTTGCAGCGCAGCACCTCCAGTGGCAGGACTTCCGGCGTCGGCTGCCCATCTGTGGCGCTGCTGTTGTTGTCACCGCTGTTATTGTTATTGGCATCGCTGATAAAGCCAACGGCACGCGGATTAAAGGGATCCAGGTGGTGTCGAAGGCTGCCGGTTTCGAAACCGGCAGCAGCGGCCGACGACGGTTCGCCATGTGCCCAGCACTCGAAATTTGTCAAAACCATCGCGCTGCTCTGCAGTGGAAATTTCCCAACGAACACAATATGTATTGAGAGTAAAAAAAACGCGCGTCTCAACTGTACGAAAGCGTGCGGCTAACTGCAGGCTCAGTTAATTACCGCCGAATATACGCAGCAATTGGCAATGGCTGAAATAAATTTAATTAACACACGCAAACGGTGAGACGAGCAATCGGCCAAGTGACTGCGATGACGGCAACTGTTAAAAATAAACCAATAAGCAAGTTTTTACATTTTGCCGCGTGCGCCTCTTGATTCGCGTCTTCGTCGTTTGCTTTGTTTTCCCTTTCGCAGTGTGACCGCAGAGGCAGTGTCGCAATAAGCCATTGAGGTCGAGGAATATACTAAAAAATACTAATTTCGTTGTTGATTGAACAGCAGCGGTCAAGTTAGTAGTAAGATTTTTGGTACTATTGTTTTCAAAACATGTTATGTTCTATTTGTTGATAAATATGTTTTGAACACCAGTTTAATCCTAATATATAATAATATAATAATATATTCCACGGAATTCAATGTCTCAGAAGTCTTGACATCTTTGTTTTTCTTTTTTAAACTTATTAATTAAATTATATATATATCCCAAGAATTGATTGGTAATTAAAAACATTGTAGATTATAAAAATATATTGCTTTAAATCTTTTAAAACTAAAATAAAAAATATATTTAAATGAAATCCGAAAAATGTTGACCAAACCTTCTTAGCGCCACTTTGTAAGATTTTGACATTTACAAATGTATTCTCAATAATATTTTGAAGTTATTTTCTGAAATCTAAAAAAATGTATTCTTTATAATACAATTGTATTTAATAAATCATGAAGACGTCTATTTTTATTTATTAACAATTGAAAATATATAAATAATAAATAAAATACGAAAATTGTAATCGAATATTGGTATTCACAGTATATTTTGGTATATTCATAACGCGAAACGGTACTACTATTTTATCATGTGATTTTGTGATTTGTCAAATATTTCTGATAACCGAATGGCAGGCCAAAGCAGAAACCGAAACTGAAACAAATTATTACTTATTTTAATTAAGCTGTGGTTCAAATAAGCTGAAAAATGTCGAACAAGACAAAGAAGACCGGAGGCGGCAACGGGGGCCCCACAAAACAAACGCGCCAGCAGTCTCATGTAACTTCCCGAGTCGCCCCCATTTGCCGGCTAGTCTAATCCCTTGTTTATTTTCTTCACCAGGACTCGCAGGACTACAGCTCCTTCAAGACAGTGCTCTTCTACTGCATGCTCATCGTGTTCCTGCCCGTGCTGACTTTCTTTGTCCTCAAAGGCTTCGTGCTCGACCAATTCTTTAGCATTTCCGAAGTCAAAGTGAACATAGCATCTGCCGTGGGGGCGGTCGTAGCGCTGCATATCGCCCTGGGACTGTATATCTACCGGGCGTACTTCGGAGCATCCGGCTCCAAGGCCGTCAAGGCGGACTAAATCTTCATCTACCGGACTGTTTGGTTTCCCATTTCCATTAATTATAAGTCGGAAAAGCACTCTTGTACATACATACTACATATAAATGCTGTTGTTTACATGTCAGCGAGGGAGGAGAAAGTCGTCGCGCCTGTGTAACCATTTGTAATCGTTTTTCATTGCATAAGTTTCGATAACAGCGTGTGGAAAACGTGTGTTGTCTAGTGTTTTGTGTGCTTAGTTTATATTAAAAAAAAAAAACATTCTAATTGTTTAAATGCGTGTGCTATTAAGAAATTTCTCTTTAATGGAGGCGGTCAAGCGCTTGCTGCCCCGGCCGCGTAAGAAGATCTACAATCTGGGGGCTTGCTTCGAGCTGGTGGATATCCCAAAGGTTAGAGGTGGAAGAAAAGTAACAATGTTTATATTTTCTATTATGCAGAGGAGTGGAAGGGGGCCTTGTGGAAAATACTTCATAATTAAATGTATTTTTAATGAAGTGTGAACTACTTACTACTGATACGTGGAAATGTATTTTACATTTTTATTAATCAATGATATTATTTATTTCTTTGCACATTAAAAATAAGTTCTAAGCTAAATAACAAGAATTAAACCCCCTAAAACAATATCTGCACACGCCACTGAATTTGTCTATCGCGCTGCCACCTGTTTATGCCGGGCGTTGCCACCTGGCCATTATTTTTCAACAGCTGTTACTGCTCGCAATTTGTTTTTTATTCTTGCTGATTGTGCCTCAAATACTTGACCCGAAAGAATTCGCGTGAGATGATATATTACTAGCTGTGGCCAGAGAATTCCAAACATCGCATGCTGACGCAGTCCGTTCCGGTACCGTGCCGCAGGCCTACCCTCTTGGAATTCGACGCACCTGCCGATAAATTGATTCGAACCACCTGTTGTTCTTGAACGGGGCGCAGCAGCACACCTACTCATAAAGCCACAAAATACTCACGCCACGTAGTCTTAGTCAGAATGTTGCAACGCTTGCCAGCCAAAATGTGGACGCTCTGCCTTCAGGTGGCTTTGATGGCCACCTTAGCCCGTGTTTCGGTCTCTCAGCGCGATAATCTGGTCGGGCGATCTCAGGTGCTGATGCTTCATCAACAGCCCACTTTCCAGCTGTCCACTAACTGCAACATTTTCTTTCTCTTTAACCGTAGATATACTACAATCCCAGCGAGTTGTCCGAGTCAAAGTTCCTGGAGTATAGCAATCTTTCGGATAAACTGCACTTGCGGGAGGCCCTCGGCAACATCATGATTCCGCGGGTTGTGGGATCCAGAAACCACAGCATTGTGCGGCAGTTCATAGTCGAGAGTCTGAGGGACTTAGAATGGGATGTGGAGGTGGACAGCTTCCATGATCATGCGCCCATCAAGGGAAAATTGCATTTCCATAACATTATTGCGCGGCTGAATCCAAAAGCAGAGCGATATCTGGTGCTTGCCTGTCACTACGACAGCAAGTATATGCCTGGAGTGGAGTTTCTGGGAGCCACCGACTCGGCGGTACCTTGTGCCATGCTTCTGAACCTTGCTTACGTGCTCCAGGATCAGCTGGACGATCTCAAAGATAACAAACTCAGCCTGATGCTGTTGTTCTTCGATGGCGAGGAGGCCTTTAAGGAATGGGGACCCAAGGATTCCATTTATGGCGCCCGACATCTGGCTAAGCAGTGGCATCATGAGGGAAAACTGGACAACATCGATATGCTGGTCCTCTTGGATCTACTAGGAGCACCCGATCCCGCTTTCTACAGCTTCTTCGAGAACACGGAGTCCTGGTATATGCGCTTGCAGTCCGTGGAGACCCGCCTGGCTAAACTTGAGCTGCTAGAGCGCTATGCCAGCAGTGGGATAGCGCAACGCGATCCCACACGTTACTTTCAGTCCCAGGCTATGCGCTCCTCCTTCATCGAGGATGACCACATACCGTTCCTGCGCCGTAACGTGCCCGTTCTCCATCTTATTCCAGTGCCCTTTCCCAGTGTTTGGCATACGCCCGACGATAACGAGAGTGTGATTGATTATGCGACAACGGACAACCTGGCGCTGATTATAAGGCTCTTCACTCTGGAGTATCTCTTGGGCGCCAAGTAGATTCCCCGCCATGAATCACAATAATGTTGTATCTAAATTACGGCCTTATCAAAGATGACCTGTTCGTTGTAGATATCGTTGATATCCGTTGTTGAATGTATACTTATGTACCCACCGGTTGGAGGAGCCCCTTGTGGGTCCACTTAATGTTACAATTACTTAAGCAGAGCTGCAATACCTACGCATAATCTTAATATTTTTATACTTGTGTATTTATACTTACTAGTTTAAAACAAAATGTAAAACCAAAAGGCTTAGCTAATAACACTTCAAAGTTATGCATACATATACATATATATTTGTTGTAATGTTTCGGTTGTAAATTTCTTAGACTTATGCGCAGTACAACATACACAATTAGAAAATATACCTTAAAAACTAATTATTTGTTAAATTAAATGCACTGGTGGCAAAATTAAGTTTGTTTTTTTGGTTTGTCATAAAATATAAAGATTTTAAAAAGAACAACAGGGTACAATGACAATATTATACATATTAATGGGTTTAAGCAAGTCAATAATAAAACAGAAGTCAATATATGAAAGAACAAATTAACAATAATCAGGGCTGATAATGCTTAGGTGCTGATTTTGTACTTCTAAGTGCGCGGTTCTTTACCGGAAAAAGCTCTACAAAAATTCATTCACTCGAAGCGATTTGGTTATCAATTATATTCGAAAGATACCAAGAATACTTTCTCTATTTTAAACACATTTTTTCGAATTATAAACTTGTTAACTTTGGCTATGGCTATCCTGAAGTGTTCCTATATTTTGTTTCTTTAATTTCTCTATAAAACATATGACAATAATTAGCTTAACCAGTGCTTTCTAAGCGTCTCATTCTTAAAAAAAGGAGCTCAAGTTAGATATGGCAAACATTCGTACACTAAACTTAATAACTAGCTAAAATCGTTAAGCCTTGATTCAAGTTGTTTTAAATTATTGAAGATGAATCACTCGCTTCTCGTCGGTGGACTGTCAGTAGATCCTTTCGCCAAAGCTGAACTCAAGCCGCAGTCCGCTTCACCTTCTGCCCCTTCATCAATGGATGTCTGTTGCAGTTTGGGCATGGACCTTGCCAGTTCCTTGGTATCTTTACCCTGAATCAGCTGCCCTAGATTCAGTTCTTTGGGCTTCTCCACAACCACTGAACTCAGCTCGGCACAGGATTTTGATTTGCTCTTGACCTGCGATGATGAGGTGGATGATGATTTGCTGCCATTTGGGGCATCACAAATCTCGCGAAGATCCGCTCGAGAGTCGCGACAGCAAACCTTTTCGATACATTCCGCTGCCTGGCACTGCATCAGGCACTCCAGTGATGCGGAGGCATCTTTGTTTGTGGACGGATAGAACTCCGGCTGAATAGTGACCGCCCTGATGCCCTGATCATGGAAATACGATCGCACCTGATCGATGATCTTGAGATAGAGTTTGGGATTTTGGAACTGGATGTGAATGGTAGCGACGTAGCTATGGGCGGCCAACTGCCAGATGTGCAGATCATGATAGCTAATAATCTCAGGAAATTTGCTCACAAGAGTCCGCTCAAAGTTCTCCATATCGATGGAGCCGGGTATGGTCTGTAATAGGATCAGACAGGATTCCTTCACTGCGGGAGATACAGAGAGTTAAAACCATTTCCATATCATTTAATGCCTTCTTGTACTTACTGTAGGGATAACTGAGCGACACCAGCAGAACACAGGAGAAAATGGAGAGAACAGGATCAATGAACTTGGCCGTGTGCTCCTCATCCTCCGCCACATAGACAATAGCCGCACATACGATCACAAATATGGTGCTGGAGACATCGCGCAGCATTTCTACAGCTCCCTGACGTTTGGTGGCAAAGTAAACACTGCCCACCTCCGTCTCCAATTCCTCACGCAACTGTCTATCATTGCGCGATTTACTCAGCTGCCTTTGCATCGGTGTCAGGGATACGTCCATGTTGCTAGACATGGGACGCTCGAGCACCACATTGCCACCGGGTGTCAAGTGCAGGAAACTACCCTGGTGTAGTGTGTATCCGCCAATCAACAGATATGTGAGTCCATTCAGAATCAATCCCACGAAACCCAGCATCATCACTGGGATCGGTAAATGCATCGTATCCTGATGATCGATATGGACCAGAGTTTGCAGGGCCTCCACCACCAGCGAGAAGGATAACGAAGCCAGGATAATGAACACAATCAACATGGTCAGAATATCTATCCTGGCCCATCCAAAAGTATTGCGTAACTTCTGCTCCCGGCACTCCCGCTTGGCCTTGGTCTGGGCCTCCGCTTCGGTGAGGTTGACAATCACACCTGCTCCTCCATTTCCATTAGCCTTTGTCTGAATGGGTGGTGGATCCTTTGTTTCTGTTTTCTGTTTACTATGCTGCAAGATTATAAAGAGAAAGAAAATAGGGTTATAAAAAATCTGATTTGGAGAATACAAATCGTAAATCTATTAATTATCACCTTTATATTTATAGTTAAAAATATTTAAAATATATTTTAGACATTCTAAGCCATTTTTAAACAGGAAATCATGTATTTTTCATGTTATACTTAACTAAAAAATATATTCAGCCATTAATAATAGTTTCATACAATAATTTTTGAAGGTGGTTTTTAAATTGAATTGAATTGAAGCTCCAAAATAAAAATCTTATGACTAGGCCAAAAAATCTTAAATTTCAATTCGGAAACCGTTCCGATGTGGGTTTTTAATAGGTTAATAAATCTGCATACTTAATTTCGAATTTTAAAAATTCCATTTTTTGCCAATTTTGGAAAATTTTAACGATGTAACCCCTTATCATTTTATGCAATTTTGAAAAAAAACTTCTGACTATAATTTTACTTTCCTGCAAGAGTATAAACATTCCTTAATTACTAGTATTTATTCTAAGCTCAGATAAAATTGTCAAGTTTGATTATAAGTAAAATAAGTAAGAGAGAAAGCACTACTTATTTAAATGAATTAAAAAAACCTTGAATATGCTCAACTGTAAAACTAATTTAAATTAAACTTGAAACTTTTGGAAAAGAAAAACTCTTTTGTTATGGTTTTCAGTGCCTGTTTTTTTTGACAAAAATATATAAAATGGAACATGGAAATAGAATGGAAAAGTTCATTCTCCAGCGTCATGCTTTCTAAGCCAAATCATAACAATTGGCATTGGCCCATCACCACAATGGTTGGCAGCTATTTTAACGCTCCGCTGGTCCTCTGTCCGTCTGTGGTCCCATTATATAAGTTCGCATTCGACCCACACAAAAGTCCACACCTACAACGCCAATCGTCGTCGAGTCTTTGGGAGCTTTCGATTTCTGGTGTGCGACTTTTGGCCAAGTCTTGTTTGATTTTTGTCTTTTGCGAAACGTGCTTGGCACGCTTTCCTATGGCGGCAACGAATGCTATTTGCATCCATTCAGTAATAAAATATTTAACTTTGACTGCTCCATAAATTCGTTGTCGGACGACACTTTGTTTTTTTGCATAGGGGAGTATTCACCTTGAATTTAAATTAATTCGAAGCTAAATTAATATTTAGTAATAGTTATCAACTGATATTACTGGCTTTTATTGATAAAATATGAATAATTTTCTATTATTGTTTAGTTAGTTAAACCAAAAACTAAAGAGTAACATACAAGAGTATAATTTGGAGGGATCAATTACAATTTTCTTTAAGGAAAGATCATAAAGCAAATAACTTTATAAAAGATATCATAAAAATATCTTGTTTTCTCATAATCTAAATCTTCTAAGTCTCTAAAATATATTACCATTTTCGCTTTCTATCGGCCAAGTGCCATATATGTGACTACTGCCCCATTTTGACCGGAGAAACTAAGCCAAAAAAATAAAAGCAGTGTGACTAAAGCCCGTCGTTGTCCGGTATCTCCGTGTAATCAACCTGATTTCATGTCACCTGCTGTGTGTAGACAGGGGCATTACACTCAAAATGGGCAATTACACAGCAATCTCTGCTGATAAGCACCGAGGCACTTCTGACAAGTCAAAATAATAACTACAAGGAACCACTCCCGGTGAAAGATATACAAATTTCAAAAAATATACACTAAAGTCTCCCATAAATTATATCCCAAAATCCAAAAGAAACCAGTTTTCCGCAAAATATATATATACATATAAAAATTGTGTTTGGAATGCGTTTCGATATTGTTTGTTGTGCTTTGCTTTTCGGGCCACAATAAAAGTTCAATGCACCAGCATCTGTTTCGACTTTGCACGCGACATTTCCTGGCCAAAAAAATAACAATAATTAAAACTGTCGGGCATGAAAAGTTATAAAAAGTTAAACTGTTCAAATAATATTATTATTTTTTAAAATTACGATGAGTTTACTATTTTTGGTAGTGCTGTTAAAGGTGATAGTTCATTATTGACATATTATATACAATTAAATATAAGAACAGTCGAAACTATATTATATAAATTGAAGGTTAATCTGAGAACCTTTAACCTGAGAACCGACTTCTACAGATTTTTATATTTAGATTTCTTTATTATATCTTGTTATCTAAATTAACTATAATCTGCTCCACTCACCTTAATTGTGATAATGCAACCTCCGAGTGCTATAATGTTGCACAACATATGATGGGAGGCCATCAGCAGGGTGAGTCCGTGTGTCCAATGGCTGAGTAACAATTGAAGGATAAAATAGCATATGGATAGAACCAGTACCACGTACAGGGGTACGGGTCTACACCGTTGCAATATCTTTTTCACCGGCATTATGTATCTGTAAGGAGGAAGTGAGAATTGGTAACATAAATATTGAAAACGGTATCATGCGGAAATGACGATCGGAGGAGGTCACTACCACTTGTCAACGAACTGCCTAGAGGTGTGATCTACATATATAAATGGGCTTAATTTGTTGTTAATACAAATTACCAATGTGTCAGCAGGTTGTCAATTTGATTGAAAGATGTGAAATGTGTTTGCAATTAAGAGATTAATAATGTAATCAGTACTAAAACCAATTTACAGGGAACTAAATGTAAATAAATAATTAAATATGGTATAATCATGGAGGTAGATCAGCATAAGAAACTCATAAACAAGCATAAGTTTTGACATAAAAATTACTACCTCTTTGATTAGATGCAATTATTACAACCCCTTCAATTTCTAAAATCCCTCCAAACTGTGTCAAGTTCAAGTGCTCGAGTTAATTGAACCGCACCGATTGGGAGGGAACTACGCCGCATTGAACTGAGCCTAACCTGCCATATTTAGGGTTCAACCCATGCCAACCCCATATGCAAATCCCCTATGATCATGATCATCATGTGGGCATGGGCATGGGTCTGTCTCTGGACTCCTCCTGCCTGGCCTGGCCTGGCCTGGCGATGGTGGGCTGCATGCAAATGAAGATGCTAAATGGGCTCTTTTTACCTGTGGCTATCAAAGTGAATCTCGTTAAATCGATCGGTTCGCGATCGCCTGCGACATTGACGTAACTTTACGTGATCGCAAATATATAGCTACCGATTGTTTGTTGGCTTCTCCAACGCCGTCGTCGATGGGTCGTTTGTTTTGTTTGCCGCAAATGTAACACTGCAAGGTTGAACCCCTTTTCGGTAGGTCATTTGTAATTTTAAAAGTGCCCTCAAGTAGCTTAATTATCGAGCGGACACTTCGTGACAGTTTTTAATGGTTCATTTCGGATAATCCAAATGTCCGATCTCGGGTAAATTCAAGGATCAATTAGCTAGCGAGATTGTATCAAGTATGTTGAAAAGATTTCTGGTAATTAAACGGAAACCTATTTGTATTTACTCTATTTACAAGGTTTATTTAAATTACAATATGCTACTACTTAAACTTAAGATTACAACTTTCTTTAAGCTATGGAAACTAATAAGACCCACCTTTATACCGCATTTGCAACACCTCAATTCCTGAATTATTACATCTGTTGGTGCCCACATCTGGAATACTTAATAAGTATACTACGTAAATGATGGCTACTGTTCAGAGGCAGCATTCTATATATTTTTTTAAATGATGCAACTCTACCACCCTGTGGATTTTTAAATGAGCCCATTTTGCATTCTAAAATTGTCACACGTGCACTGGCAAATAATTGGAATCGATCAATTGATATAATCTATTGTTTTAGACTGTTGTTGGTGTAATTAGGGGCTAAATACAAAAGCGTTAAATGGCGCCCCGGGGGCACTAGATTGTGCAGTGCCCCGGCAAACAAACGAATAGATTCCCATCGTATTATTCCAGCGGAGACATCATGGAAGTAATAGCTATTAGCCAGATAATGTCAGACAGGTAGCAACAACAACCAATTTAGATACTGCCTCACTGTGTAGGCCCAAGAGCTCAACAGATGTAGTTAGTTATAGTATGTATCTCCCAGTTGTTCCACTTGCCACAGCCACTAAATGTTAATTTCCTCAATTTGATTTCATTTTCATTCGGAATTGGAGGGGGGCTGTGGAACCAGAGGCTCGAGCACGAGATAACAAAAGATAAGTTGAGAACGAGCACAGATACAGATACAAGGTGGCTGTAGTTGCCAGGGGATAAGACCGATAACGAAGTGATCCTCTAGATAAAATATAAAATATGGTGTAATATGGCTGGCAGGTGGATGTCGAGCCTTGAACACTTACAAAAATACAGTATGAATCTTAAATTAACCGCTTAGAACACATCTCTTTTTAAAACTCTTTAGCATAGAGTCTTCACTTTATAATAGCATTTTAAACAACAAATTAAATATAGAAATTGAATTATCTTATGAGAATGTATTATTCCATCCTTTTCTTTTATAACTTTCCATATCCCGGACTTTGTTTAACGACTACATCGAATGTGGCGTAAAATCCAGATCATAAATCTGAACAAACAGTTGACAACTCGATGGTCAATTAGATCTTCACTTCATCAATTGAAAACCTCAACAAAAACTCTTTTATTTTTTTGTCAACAATAAAATTCGCGACCAATAACATTTCGTATTTACTTTGATTTGTCATCAGGTTTGTTTCTTACCTTTCAAGCCACTGTGTGCATACCAATTATATTTGGCAGAAAACAAAAAATTGTACTTTGATTTTTGCGTAGATTTTGAAATTGAATTAAAAAATACTTCCTATGCGATCGGGTCCCTGGCCCGTTTTAAGCCTTTTTTGACCATTTCAAATGCGTTGACAAGGTCGCCGATGCCTTTGGAATGCCTAATTCCCCCAAGGGAACCAAAATAACGCAAGGTGTTCGCTTTATATTTAAATTCTATCAATATTGTTATTGTCTATCTATAGGTAGAGCCATAGACAAGCGTGTGCTGCCAATAGTTTATTACTTTGTTGTCGCTGGCAATTAGCAATTGCCAGTGGGCCATATTTGAACACTTTTCGAACGCGCCAAAAACCAGACACCTGATAAGCAGACAGAGATAGCTCTCTGTTCGGCCCCTATCGCTATCTCATTTTCCTGCGATTAAATGGAAATTGGACAGGTCTACCCTGATAACCGTCGTTTCGAAAAACAATATCGAAAACAACCCGGCTTTTCAGGTGGGCTAAAATGCCATCGCTAGGCGGGGGATTCGATGGGGAATGTTGATAAGACTTCAAAAATGTTGCCAGCGATAAATGTTGCTAGGTGCAAAGGAAGCAAAGGAATTTTCATTTCAAAATCCGTCAAGATTTAAGGCTTTAAATGGAATTTTTCATGTATGTTTATCATAGAAATAAATGAGCAGAGACAGAACCTGCTGAGCATAGTTATCTCACAAAATAATTGTGTGAGAATACCAAAGTATATGCAAGCTATGTAATTAATTTGTAGAATTCCAAACAAAATATGTAAATTCAAAAGTAAGGTATGATTAAACTGGCTGAAACAATAATAAAATAATCTGAGAATTTATAATTGAAATTATGGGAATTTATTATAGTTTTTTGTTTATTATAAAAATAATTTTATATTAAATAAACTCTGGGATAATATAAATCTGATGTAATATATTCAGGAAATATAAAAAACAATATTTTCATTTTTAATAAAAAGGAAACAAACTCCGTTAAGCCCAAGTTTATATACCTCTGCAGTTTGTAAAGGAATTATAGGATAGAATCGGAAACTAATATTTATCTATAATTTTTATAAGAATTCTTTCGACAAATCCAAGTTTAAAAACCTCATAACAAAGCTAAAATAGCATTAATTTGGAAAGCTCTAGTTTTTTTTGTTTAGTTTAAAATAAAAATACCCTCTCCTTTAATATTTTTAATAGAAGATTCCAAACCACCTGTACATACCATGTTCTACAGCTCGCAACAATTCAATGAAATTCTACCTTTAAAGTAAACAAATAATTGTAAATTTTTTAATTGCAATTTTATGGATCTCCGTTTACGTGAGATCTGCGCCCTATATATATGAAAAACACTTTCACTATGTCCTCATCAGAAACGTGATCAAGTCGTATTATATATCAAATTTTACTGACGCTATATAATCCCATTAAAATAATGCACAAATTGATATTAATGCTGATTACTAAAGACTCACTTCAATTACATTTAATGGGCAGAAAAACAAAAATTGAATAAAAATAAACATGCAGTTGCGGTCAAAGTGATAGACTGTAATAAATATTACTGAAAAAAATGAATTCTTTATATTTTTGTAAGCTAAGAAGGTTCAATAAAACATTAAGACTTATGGTTCAAACTAGTAATAATAAAAAACTTATGAACAGCCATTATTTCCATAAAAAAGCTAAGCAAGTTAGGTTGCAATTTATATTTTCCAGCACTATTTGTTGTTAAACAACTGTTATAACAAGATTTTCCAGCAAACTAACGGTTGAGAGTAATTGTTTATAATATTGCGTTGGGAAAGTGGGGACCTGGGTTCTTGAGCACTTGAGCCAAGGTTTTTGGATCAATTTGCATTGAATTAGCTTTGTCAGTGAGAATTTGATTTTGGTCTTAATCAATCTCAGCCCCCCACCAGACGACGACGACGATGGGTGGATTGTAGACAGATATAACCTTTAATTAGCATTAATTTCGATCAAACTTATTTTTATACCGCGCAGATGGGGTGTTATTTTAGCTGTTGGGGCAATATTTTCACCGCGGTGCCAAGAGCCGCGAGGCGTCTTAATAATCACTTGCTAAATGGATTCACAGTCGCGCCTGCTAACGAATCAGTCATCTATATACATATGTATGTATGTATCCAAATACGTATCTAAGGCAGCCGCATTAAGGTGTGTTTTCGAATTCTGGACTCCAGATATGAAGCCAAACAAGCCACAAGGCCGAAAGCCCTTATCAGTCTACAGAGAACTTAGGCTAAAATAGGATTTTGGCTTAGAACTGGAAATTTACCGTCTTTATGGGCTCTTTTTTGATAAGCTGAAAAGCGCGTGTGTCCCTTGTTGTTAGTTTGCTATTTTTAGCGGCAACACACACCACTATAGTAAATTGCTTTGGAAAATTTGCTTTTCCTATATATTTTATTGTTATTATTCCACACAAACAACACGCACGCACAAGATTTCAAATTTTGCAGCTCCACACGCGCGCTACCTGTTGAGCTACTATGCCGAATTTTATTTTTAAACAAATTATTTGAGCGATGTTCACTGCAGCGCGGCTCAAAAACGAATGATCGTCAAAGCCGAAGCGAAGGCGATGGAGGCAAAAATATAGCACACTAATTTGAGAAAGCTCGTGAAACACAGGCAATAGGTCGACTTGCGAATACCCTAAGCGGACAGGTATGCTAATGGAATGAAGGTAGAGATTCTAGTGCTAGTGCTAATCAATTTAAAACAAAGGGTAATTTTACAATTACCTTATTTAATATAGATACAATTTATTTTACATGCTCGTCGATTATTGTGAATTAATCATATGAACATTTTCAAATGTTAGTTTATACCATTCTACCAAATCAAAATACTTTCTTTAAAGGGTATAAAACGCACAGAGATAGACGAACAACAAAAGCAATGACCACAGCCGGCAAAACGGAATGCCCGCAAATTGAAAGTGAGCGTAATGGTGCACGTGTGTAAGTGTTTATGCACAGGGGGCAAAAAGATAACGCGAGAGAATTGAAGAGAGGGAGAGAGCGAGAGTGTGGGTGTAAAAGTGCGTGTCCAGTTTGAAAATTATCAGCTGACGACCAACGATAAAAGAGGGAGAGAAAGAAAGAGCTAACGAGTAAAAGAGGGAGAGTCGTGAGAGTGAGAGAAATGGAAAAGGAGAGCATGCCCGAACATGCCAAATATCAGGTGCGTATGTATTCACAATACATGCATGTTATCATGAATTTTATGAGCTCAAGAGGCAACAACACTAACAGCAGTAACAACAAAGTGTTTATTATGCTTACATATGGTAATCACAGCGAAATTACAGCAGCAGCAATAGTTAAACGCACTGATCTAACTCAAACAAACGAACAACTGCCTTCGAAACATTAGCGCTGAATAAAATATTTAATTACAGTGGGCCCCAGATTATTTCGCTTTTGACAGAGTATTTTTAGAATTATACGAATATATCAAAAAGCACTAAACATACAAACATTTAAGCAAATGCACGAAGAGAAATACATTTCATTTTATTTAAGTAATCAAAATATAAGTTATAACAATATGAAATATGTATACTGGGTTTTTACTAAAGTACCAAAATAAATCATTTAAACAAGCACCATATATGTATATTTAATGTTACAAATGTATGTACATATGTATATCGTCTAATAATAAAGCAAATTAAACAAGAAAACTTAATCTATCAAACCATTTGTTGTACATTGAAGAGTAATTTGTTTTTACAGAGATACTATCACAATAGTAATTTTACTCCGACCGCAACAATGTGTATTATCAATAAATTAACCACAAGAGCTCACTTTCTTTAAAAGTGCTTATCGGCGTTTGTATTAGAACGTTCTTAAGTACTCGGCTAGATTCTATATACATTGATTACACCCCGATTATTTACGATACCGTACCGTTGCTCTACTCAGTTTTACAGCATGTAAGCGACTGCAATGTTTACTTTACAGTTTACAGAAGTCGTGCCTAAATTCATGTTCCACGGGGCCTGAAATTGCAATTATACCACGCACATTAGATAAAAAATCAGCGGTTTGACTGGCTGCCAAGCAGTTTCTTTTCAACTGGGACACGGTTGGCTTATGTCTTATTTGTCAAAATATAAAATATTCATAAATTAAGCGTCAGTTGAGCAAAGTAAGACATTACTTGTCAACCGGAGTTACAGATTAGTGAGCAATTAAACAAGATAACCGCAGCAAGGTCTTTAAATCATAATTTAATATGATAGGATTTTATATCTGTTATACAGCGTTCAAGTAACGTTAACATCTCTCTTTTTAAAATATAGAAGCGTTCAAGTAATATTAAATTGTGTGTTTTCAATATATTAAATATATAATGCATTTTTATTTTTAAATTGTACTATTGACTTTCATTTGGAAAGAATTTCAAATTGTACGTTAGTGGCTTTGGTGCTGCCACCCTTACCAATTTCAAAAGTCTGGCAGCCATAATTGTAGTGACAATTGTCATTCACAGCGGTTATGACCATTCGCAGGCACTGTTTTCCTCTGCAGGCGTAGACGAAAACGGCCCGAAATAAAAAACGATTTTAAGCGGATAAATCAGCCGTTTTAGTCCAGTGCGCCGGTACGAGATGGCCGCCATAGTACTAACCCGCAATATGCAATTGGCCAGTAAGTTTTACCACCTGCCAACCGCCCAGTGGCTGGCAAGCAAATTATGTAATATGCTCGGAATGTTGTTGCTAATACTTGGTGTTTTTTTCGCATCTAGAGCACCATGGCAGTGGTGTTGTTGGCGTCCTGTGTCTCCGCAGCTACTCCGCTGCCGCCGCTCCCCCGGAGGATTGTCCGCGCCCGCTGAAAACCACAAATCCGGCTGCAATGAAGCGCGGTACGGGAGGACGCAGCAGCTTCAATGGGATTGTGGCTACCGTTTTCGGAGCCACCGGCTTTGTAGGTCGCTACGTGTGCAACAAGCTGGGCAAATCCGGCTCCCAAATGATCCTGCCTTATCGCGGTGATGACTCTGATGTGATCCGCCTAAAGGTTACCGGAGACCTCGGTCAGGTGCTGTTCCACTTCTACAACCTGGAAGACCCCGCGTCCATTCGCGAGGCGGTGAAGCACTCGAATGTGGTCATTAATCTGGTTGGCAGGGACTTTGAGACCAAGAACTTCAAGTTCAAGGATGTGCATGTCAATGGAGCGGAAAGAATCGCCAGGTAAATATCATTGGTTCTCCTTCGGTAAACCTTTAAAAACCGTGTTTCTTCAAAGAATCGCTCGCGAAGCTGGCGTGGAGCGCTTCATCCATTTGTCCTCCCTCAATGTGGAGGCCCATCCCAAGGATTTGTATGTGAAGGGTGGCAGCGAGTGGCTGAAGAGCAAGTACGAGGGTGAGTTGCGTGTACGCGATGCCTTCCCCAATGCCACCATCATCCGGCCAGCGGATATCTATGGCTCCGAGGATCGATTCTTGCGCTACTACGCCCACATCTGGCGTCGTCAGTTCCGCTCGATGCCGTTGTGGCATAAGGGCGAGAAGACCGTGAAGCAGCCCGTCTACGTGTCGGATGTGGCCCAGGCCATCATCAATGCGGCCAAGGATCCGGACTCTGCTGGACGCATCTACCAGGCCGTGGGACCCAAACGCTACCAGTTGAGCGAATTGGTCGATTGGTTCCATCGCCTGATGCGCAAGGATCAGAAGCGCTGGGGCTACATGCGCTACGACATGCGCTGGGACCCCACCTTCCTGCTGAAGGCCAAGCTGAACAGCTGGATCTGCCCAGGCACACCCATCGGTGGCCTGCATCCCGCTCGCATCGAGCGTGAGGCCGTCACTGACAAGGTGCTAACTGGTGTCCCCACGCTGGAGGATCTGGGTGTCACACTGACCACCATGGAGCAGCAGGTGCCATGGGAGCTGCGTCCATACCGCGCCGCCCTCTACTACGACGCCGAGCTTGGCGAATTCGAGACCCCGTCGCCACCCAAGAGCATCGAAGCGCGTGACGAGCTGCGCTTATTTGCCTAAACCTGAAATTGTGGGTGGAATCTGTCTGTGTTGATTGGAAAATTTTAGTTAAATTGTTTAAGGCGATGCGTCAATAAAGAGATGTCGACATATTATAACTAATGGTTATTATTTTGCCATAAAATCGGAAAACTCCGACAGGGAAAGGAGGCACGGAAAATAAAGCAAAAGCGTTATTTTCCCCGTAAAGCCTGGGGGCGGCAAATTTAAGAGTGACCAGTTACTGGAAAGCGGACATAGAGTTGCTTCGCACCAAGTTGGCATCTCCTGCTGACTGTGTCGGTATTTCCCTTCGGTGGCAACACCGGGCCGGCAAAACCAAAACAAATGTCGTCGCCTCACCAGTCTGGCAACGCCCGCCAATTGTCGGCAAGCTCTTCGTTTTTCTTCCTTTGCGACCAGGAGCTTTTCTGCAGCCCAGCACTTTTCCCCGAGACTTACGACCGTGCAGATTTATGGCCGGAAAATCATAGTACGGAAAATTCGATTTCTCAACCTTTGGTGTTTCCTCCACTGTGTGATTGTGTGTGCAAAACATTTTTCACTTTTCAGCTCGGTTAACAAATAAAAAATAACAACAACAGTGACCGCGACAACAAAAACACACGCGCGCGTTACTCTTTTCGCGTTTTTGTGCGTGTGTGTGTGAGAGTGCGTCAGTGTGGTATAGAGAGGGTGATAGAATTATGGCATAATTTGAATAATTATGATAGCAGAATACACGCTGCCACCGCCGAATGTGAATTTAGAAAAGCAGGAAAAGGACAGTGACGAAAGGGACTGGAGCACCGAGGGCGACTATTCGCCGCTAGCCCATTTGGAAATAGAAGTGAGCCGCATACGCCTTGTGAAATCGATCAGAACGAATTCGCCCAATTCGACGTCGACGTCCTCGGGCGAAATAACGGCGAAAATAATTTGGTGGGGCGAACAGAGGGAGAAAGCGGGCACCGTTAGCATCATCAGCTGTGACAGAGCCGCCCGAAAGCTTGCCCAAAAGAAAAGGTCAAAGAGGCAGCAGCGACATCAGCAACCACAACAACTGCAGCAGCATCCCAAGGAGGAGGAGATAAAAGGAAAAGGCAAAGAGGAGCAAGCGAAGCTCTGGCAAAAAGAAAATAAGAAAAAGCGACCAAAGAGTGGCCAGAGGCAGAAGCAGCAGCAGCAGCATCCTCCCGTCAATACCAATACCAATACCGTTACCGATACAAATAAGTTACGTTACAGTGTGCGCAGCAAGAGCCTTGCCGTATTTTTAGATTACTTGCGACAGTGTCCCGCCATCGAAATTGTCGCTGCTGGCCGCTGTGACGTCCGTAGTAGCAGCCACGCCTTCAGCCTACAAGACAGTCAACCGCCGCCAAAGCCCGACCCCGACCCGGACCCCGCCCTTGCCCACGGGCATACGCTTCTGCCGCTGCCGACGTCGCTGCTGCGCAAATACGCCGCCAACTACGGTAGCGGTTGCAATTTCGAGCATAAAACCAAAATTTATGCTCTATATCGT